ATAAACTATTGGAAAAAAAATAAACCTACAGATTCATTGGTGCTGCTATAGTTTTCTATAGAACTAACTTGTATCCTCCAGTCAGTTGAGTAATCCTTCAGTTTTCTATAGCCTATAGAACCAACTTGCATTCTCATGTCAGCTGTGATTCCTATAGATTTGGTGGTAAAAACTATAGTTTTCTATAGAACTAACTTATTGTCTCAAGTCAGTAGTATATTCCTATAGTTGTCGATGACATTCTGTTGAAAACTAAGAATTATATGTATATTGTCATTTTAACAAATAGCCTACTATAGTTTCCTACATAATATTGTAGAAACAATGTTCTATACTACAGATTTCATGAATTGGTGATGTCTTTTATTCATACTATAGTTTACAATAGAATTTAGTGATGCACTTGTGTGAATTATGTAAACTTTTCCAGCATATTAATTTTCCTGGATGCAGTTTTCCTTAATTTATTGTGATACCAAATGACAAACTAAAATAAGCTTACCACGAAAATTAAATATAAAGTATAAAATAGTGTATATAATATGAATGAAATAGTGATACATGTTGACACTCAAAGGAATTCCCCACCCCAACAAAAATATCAGATAATAAATTATTCTTCAGATAAGTCAATGAAATAAAGACAGTTTATTTGAACTGTTAGGTGATCCTGCTAGTTAGATTTTAATGACTATAGCAGATTCTGTACTCAGATTCTGTCAACCGTGCATACCAGTCGACAAACTATAATTAACAAAAATGAAATGAAATGAAATGAAATGGGGTTTAACGTCCTACTCTTCTGCACTGCCATTGTACTCTATTGAAATCTGTTTGGCCATTGGCTGAATTTAAAATTCAAAAATTCAGTGTATAACAACTTAATATGTTAGTATTAACAAGAAACTGAAGAGAATGATGGTGTTTTTTCACAGATTCGATTAAAGATAGAAAGATAAGTATACTTTATTACTTTCTTAACAATAATATTAAATTACTTTAATTAGATAAGATTTATGTGATTTTGTTATTTATTTAACTTTATTACCTATTCTTTTCCCTATATATCAGTTTTACCAAGAAAAGAACTTTTCATGGTTCGGGCTGGTGAATCATCAACAGAATTCAGATTAATCCATGAGAGAAAAAATAAGCTTATTTAGAAGAATCCAGGCCACGAAATTTCAAATTTTGGCGTAACCAGAAAAATGGTTGTGGGTTTATGCTCTGCGTAACCATTTCTTTGGTTACGCCAGATGACCATTGCGTAACCAATTGGTTACATAAAATGGTTGCGCTGTTTTCATGTTTTATCCAGATTTAAATGGTGCTATTATTCATTTCCACTTGCAGTGAATGTATTTTTAAAGAAATAACTTGACTAACTTTATTCTTTTATATTTAATATTATATTTTGAGGTTAAGTGTTAATGACTTTAATCCCACGATGTCCTCATTTAAACAATAAAACATTAGAAAAAAAAATTCCACTTCACTAAATCCCTATATTTTAATAATGAGGGGAATCGGTTCCAAAAATTACTAATGGATTTCCGTTTTTATATCATATCTGACCTTCAAAAACCAGGAATGGTAGCTACCACATTGTTTTCGGTCACTGAAGACTACATGCGTACTTCATATATTACACTTGTAAGTTGTCACTTGCAATTATTCATCCAAGCACGTAGCATGAGATAGCCTCACTCATAGGTAGCGACTGATTGACAAACAGTATTTATTATGAACCTCGGCACTCTATACACAAAGTCTCAAAAGGAAAAAGAATAGTTTGATGTCATGAAATAATATTAAAATAGACAGGACAGTAAAATCGTTTACATTATCGCTCGAGCGATGCCGGGGAGGGGGTCAAAGTTGACGACTACACACGGGTCATTGGTACTACAGCATGGCTATAGTGAAAACTGAAAGGAACATGTGTAGTAAATTCTATGGAAATATAGCCGACATGTTAAATAGTCAACCTCATTTCTCCTTTTGTGTTTGAAAATCCAAAGGTACGCTTTCAAATATTTATGGCATAACTAATCATTTAAAGAATTAGGGGCGGGAGGCATTTTTAAATCAACGTGCTTTCAACTGGTCAATAGCCTACGTACGTGGTGTCAAAATACTTGATCTGTCAAAGTACCGTAATATGGTAATGGAGAAATGAAATGCCAAGAATGAATGGAGTTTGTGCTATAATACAAATAATTTAGACCCGTGTCACAAAGTCATCCTGTATAAAAATTGATCCAATGTGAATAAATCTGTTAATGAAATTTGTTAACGTAACCGATATTTCAATTTGCGTATCCAGGTAATCGGTCGCGTGTTTTTGAGCTAGCGCGACCGCACGTAACCGATTGGCATCGTTCGCGTGAAATTTCGTGGCCTGAGAATCCATGACAGAATAATAAGCTTATCAATTTACAAGAAATCATGGGTCAACTATATTTATTCCCAAAATAAGATTTAATAAAAAAAAAAGTCTATAGAATTCTGTAGTACCCATTCCTACAGAAAACTATAGTGGCCCAATTTCCAAACTACAGAATACTACAGTATTCATTCCTATACATAACTGTAGAATTTCCTACAGAAATTGCAATAAAAAAAACCTAAAGAATACTACAGTATTTTCCTATAGAAATTTTGCCATAAATCTGTATGATGAGCGCTACAGAAACTGTAGAATATTTGGGGCCGTTATTTCCTACAGGCCCCCAAAATTCTGCAGAATACTATATAATTTTATCCTATAAAAAATGGGACACGCCCCCCCCCAAAAACTCTATAGATTTTCTATAGAATTCTACACTGGTATTCTGTAGGATTTTTTGCTAAGGGTAGTTTCATTTTGTTAGTATTTGTTTTATTTATAGTCTGTAGACGCCTAAATAGTCCAGACTAATAACAGCTTTATTTAGATATAGGTCACTGTAGTTATCTATAGTGAGGGAAAGGATATTTGATAACTCTGTGAATAGTATGTTGACAGACTCTTTCTAAGTTTTATAATAATATTGCTATCTGCCATATATTATGTTTAATTTTATAATTTAATAGAAGCCCATGTCTTGTTATTTAGCATACTATTAGTGCGTTTATATCCCTATCATATAATCTATTTTGTTGGAAATGTACCATAATACATTGTCTAATATGGAGGCAGACCACCATTAAATTTCACCATCTCGGTTCGTCTATTTCTAGCAATTCTCTCTCTCTCTTTTCTCCCCTTTTGCATGCCCATTTTTGTTGATTATTTGGTCTAGACTGGACGAAGAGGGTTTGAATTAACATTTTCTGCCAGGTTTTGGTAAATATTCATGATTTTGAGGCGGAAGGATAAGAGGGTTATCAGGTTGGCTACGGCGATATGTACGGCAACTAGTTACATGTTTTTAGTATGCTTCTTCAAGTTTGTGTATCTCAAAATATTGGTGGTGAACCTCATACAAATTTTAGTGCAAAGACATGACCATTTGTTCCTCTGTCTGTAGTGAAAAGCATTCAGCCCAACGGAAATTTGGGGAAAAGTTGGAGGTGGGCAAAGAGGCCAGAATTAACATTGAAGTCAATGGGGAAATTAATGGTGGTCTGCCTCCTATATGACAACAACCTGACAGTTTATGAAAGGCCTAAATTTGATGATATGCTCCAAATTGTTAGAAAATGTGATATATGGCATTTTGATAGTAAAAAAAGTGAAATGGTAAAATTTCAAAAATATTTGACAAATTTGGGAGGGGAAATTTTGATTTTAGTCAAAATTTTGTGATTTTCAGTGTTTATTTACTTTTCAAAATTAGTGGAAAATATTTTAATGTATGATTTTTACTTTTGCTGCATCATAAAGGTTAGACGCGAAGAAAGCATCATAATTTCACTCAATTTTGCCTAAAAATAATGATAAATTGTCTGAAATTCTTTAGATTACCCCCAATATTGCTGTCTATTATAGTGACGACGTCCAGTTCTTTATCTAAATCTTACATAATGACCTTCATTGGCATTTAGTTCTGCCCCATGCTAACGTTTAATATACACATTTAATTTCACGAATTTAGCTATTCAAGTTATCAATGGCTCTTGTCTAGGAGACATTTCACGTCATTTTTGCAAAGTGATCAAGGACCATAACTCTGGTAGTAATTATCAAAATCGTTACAAATCGTATGACCTGAACATGACCTCAGTTTGATATTAACTTCAGTCTCTTGAGCGTCCACATGATTTGCCATAGTGATCAATGGCCATAACTCTGGCAGTAATTATCGGAAATTGTTGAAATAGTCTAAATTTGAAGTCAATCGGATATTTACCGCCTATATAGCCTCAATACTCTAGAGCGTCCACCAGCAATTGTGAGCGAATGGACCAACGGACGGGTGAGACGACCACAGCAGTTAAATCATCCGAGAAGTCAGCAAGGGTTGACGCATATGTATTCTTTTGTAGGTAATGGGAGAATTTACAAGCCACTGATTTCATTTTCTGCAAATCTAATGATAACTTCTGCCGTTAGATCATTTACAGGGTTCATGAAAGTGAAACAAGGGTCATAAGTGTAAGGCATTAACGGACATTGGTGAAATTCAAAACTCTTCTTCGTTTTACTAATTTAAATAAAGCATGTAAATTTAATATAGATCGGATGATAACTTAAGTCTTTAGAGCGTTCACAAGTTTCAACAAAGTGAAACACGTGCCATAACTCTAACAGTTATAAACAGAAATTGCCGAAATGCGATAGGCATCTTCGTTTTACAAATTGAAATAGTACATGTAAATTTAATACAGATCGGATGATAACTTTAGTTGTTAGAGCTTTCACAGGATTCAATAAAGCGACACACGAACGGACTGATGGACGGATGACAATACGACCACATTTTCATGTGGGTGTATTAAAATTATATACAAGAAAGGGGACTAGAAAGCCATTTTATGGTGATTGAATAAAAAGCACATTGTTCATCAGAAATTACCCTTTTGTGGTATATTCATTTCTGCCATGTCATCTCTGGCCTTGCGACCTTGTTTACTTGTCTTCTTGCTTGTCGCTTCCTGTGAGTACGCCATGATTATCTGGTTATCTGAAACTGTACAAAGCAAACAAACATTTCGCTATATCTTCCAACATTTAACAAGAGATGAAAGGCAAAATCGATAGTTCTCGTCCCCTGGTTATCGAAATGCTTGACATTTTTTTTAAAATCAGATAAAAATTATGACCTCTACAAGCTAAAAACGCGATTTTTCGTACAATCAGGGGCCATAATTCAGGAAGTTATGGTCCGATATGCGCGAATATCGAAAGGAACCGAGATCTTTGGGTTATAAACATTTCAAGTTCCTACAAAATCGGATAAAAATTGTGACCTCTATAGGGTCCACAACCTTGATATACCATATTTTTACACTATTTGAGAACAAACGGTGGCCATTTTGTCTGTCAATTTTGGGCCGATTTTCACGAAAATCGAATTCAGTCGTCCTTAGGGTGTAACGGTGATATCATAATAGGTTTTTTTAAATCGGATAAAAATTATGACCTCTATAGGGTCCACAAGCCAAAAACGCGATTTTTCGTACAATCAGGGGCCATAATTCAGGAAGTTACAGTCCGATATGCGCGAATATCGACAGGAAACGAGATCTTTGGGTTTTAAACTTACATTTCAAGTTTCAACAAAATCGGATAAAAATTGTGACCTCTATAGGGTCCACAACCTTGATATACCATATTTTTACGCTAGTTGAGAACGAATGGCGGCCATTTTGTCTGTCAATTTTTATCCGATTTTCGCGAAATTCGAACTCAGTCGTCCTTAGGGTGCAACGGTGATATAATAATACGATTTTGTAAATCGGATAAAAATTATGACTTCTATAGGGTCCACAAGCTAAAAACGCGATTTTTCGTACAATCAGGGGCCATAATTCAGGAAGTTATGGTCCGATATGCGCGAATATCGAGAGGAACCGAGATCTTTGGGTTATAAACTTACATTTCAAGTTTCAACAAAATCGGATAAATATTGTGACCTCTATAGGGTCCACAAGCTAAAAACATATTATTTCGTACACACAGGGGCCATAATCCATGAAGGTTCGATCCGATACATGCCAGTATCGAAAGCAGCTGAGATCTTTTGGAGATAAACCTATAATTCAAGTTTTGTCAAAATCGGATAAGAATTGTGACCTGTAGAGTGTCCACAAACAATTGTGGACGGACGGACAGACGTCCGGACATCTGGACGGACAGGGGCGACGGCATAATACGTCCACATGAAAATGTGGGCGTATAAAAATTGTGACCTCTATAGGGTCCACAACCTTGATATACCATATTTTTACGCTATTTGAGAACGAACGGCGGCCATTTTGTCTGTCAATTTTGGGCCGATTTTCACGAAATTCGAACTCAGGCGTCCTTAGGGTGTAACGGTGATATAATAATACGGTTTTTTTTATATCGGATACAAATTATGACTTCCGTGGGCTCCACAAGATAAAAATGCGATTTTTTGTACAATCAGGGGCCATAATTCAGGAAGGTATGGTCCGATATGCACGAATATCAAAAGGAACCGAGATCTTTGGGTTATAAACTTACATTTCAAGTTTCAACAAAATCGAATAAAAATTATGACCTCTACAAGCTAAAAACGCGATTTTTCGTACAATCAGGGGCCATAATTCAGGAAGTTATGGTCCGATATGCGCGAATATCGAAAGGAACCGAGATCTTTGGGTTATAAACATTTCAAGTTCTTACAAAATCGGATAAAAATTGTGACCTCTATAGGGTCCACAACCTTGATATACCATATTTTTACACTATTTGAGAACAAACGGTGGCCATTTTGTCTGTCAATTTTGGGCCGATTTTCACGAAAATCGAATTCAGTCGTCCTTAGGGTGTAACGGTGATATCATAATAGGTTTTTTTAAATCGGATAAAAATTATGACCTCTATAGGGTCCACAAGCCAAAAACGTGATTTTTCGTACAATCAGGGGCCATAATTCAGGAAGTTACAGTCCGATATGCGCGAATATCGACAGGAAACGAGATCTTTGGGTTTTAAACTTACATTTCAAGTTTCAACAAAATCGGATAAAAATTGTGACCTCTATAGGGTCCACAACCTTGATATACCATATTTTTACGCTAGTTGAGAACGAATGGCGGCCATTTTGTCTGTCAATTTTTATCCGATTTTCGCGAAATTCGAACTCAGTCGTCCTTAGGGTGTAACGGTGATATAATAATACGATTTTTTAAATCGGATAAAAATTATGACTTCTATAGGGTCCACAAGCTAAAAACGCGATTTTTCGTACAATCAGGGGCCATAATTCAGGAAGTTATGGTCCGATATGCGCGAATATCGAGAGGAAACGAGATCTTTGGGTTTTAAACTTACATTTCAAGTTTCAACAAAATCGGATAAAAATTGTGACCTCTATAGGGTCCACAACCTTGATATACCATATTTTTAAGCTAGTTGAGAACGAATGGCGGCCATTTTGTCTGTCAATTTTTATCCGATTTTTGCGAAATTCGAACTCAGTTGTCCTTAGGGTGTAACGGTGATATAATAATACAATTTTTTAAATCGGATAAAAATTATGACTTCTATAGGGTCCACAAGCTAAAAACGCGATTTTTCGTACAATCAGGGGCCATAATTCAGGAAGTTATGGTCCGATATGCGCGAATATCGAGAGGAACCGAGATCTTTGGGTTATAAACTTACATTTCAAGTTTCAACAAAATCGGATAAATATTGTGACCTCTATAGGGTCCACAAGCTAAAAACGTATTATTTCGTACACACAGGGGCCATAATCCATGAAGGTTCAATCCGATACATGCCAGTATCGAAATCAGCCGAGATCTTTTGGAGATAAACCTATAGTTCAAGTTTTGTCAAAATTGGATAAGAATTGTGACCTGTAGAGTGTCCACAAACAATTGTGGACGGACGGACAGACGTCCGGACATCTGGACTGACAGAGGCGACGGCATAATACGTCCACATGAAAATGTGGGCGTATAAAAATTGTGACCTCTATAGGGTCCACAACCTTGATATACCATATTTTTACGCTATTTGAGAACGAACGGCGGCCATTTTGTCTGTCAATTTTGGGCTGATTTTCACGAAATTCGAACTCAGGCGTCCTTAGGGTGTAACGGTGATATAATAATACGGTTTTTTATATCGGATACAAATTATGACTTCCGTGGGCTCCACAAGATAAAAATGCGATTTTTTGTACAATCAGGGGCCATAATTCAAAAAGTTATGGTCCGATATGCGCGAATATCGAAAGGAACCGAGATCTTTGGGTTATAAACTTACATTTCAAGTTTCGACAAAATCGGATAAAAATTGTGACCTCTATAGGGTCCACAAGCTAAAAACGTGATTTTTCGTACAAACAGGGGCCATAATCAGGGCTGTCTGTAATTTTTCACAGTTGATTAGCAGCACTGCTAATCAAAAAGTCCAATTTCGCCAAATTTGATTAGCAAATTTAAAAATTGATTAGCAGTTTTTCAGTTTCAATGTAAAACACCTAAATAACAAGATATTACTTTAGCTCATAACAAATATGATTAGATTCCATTCTGACTATTCTTAGATTTTTTAGCACTGCCACAAGTACTTGTGACAGTTTGTGAATGTGATGTAGAAATTTAGTTAGGTCTTATGTCTGAAGCCAATTCTTGACAGTGACTTCCGAAGCCCCACTCATTTTAATTGTTATTTTTTTGTTACGTTAGAAATCTTCGTTAGAAAACAATTTCGTCTGCTTTTTATCGTGTATTACTATTTTTCTTCAATCGGACACACCTCGATTAACTAGACACACACGATATAAACAATAATGTTTTACGGGAATTTTTACTTTGATTTATCATTTTACAATACGTTAACATGTATTTATTTTTTTATATTTTATTTACAATACGTGGGGGATACATTGGATTTATTTCTTTCAAAATGAATATGATATAATTACTTGATGTCTCGCAACGTGAGTGGTACTACTTGATTCCCTATTTCCGGTTTAATAGTCCCTATTCATAGAGTTATGTGTTGAGTCGACCCTAAGTCCAAATCAAATAGTCAGTCGAATAAACCGGTCGATGGCTTATTAAAATTTTGGAATCGTTTGTAATCAGTATAAGTTAAAGAAAAAACGCACTAATTCCAATATCTTTTATCATTGTTTTTGTTTATTTTTTACGTCCCCTCATGTTCAAATTTGATTGTTCAAATTAAAACTTTAAGGTGTTATTGCCACCGCGGCTTAATAAAGTCATGCTTTACTTTTTCCCTCATCCCCATATGCCCCCATCTTTTAAGTGCACGCCAATGTGTACACGGGACCTCGGTTTTTCGTCCCATCCGAACGACTAGACATCTGTCCTTGTCCACCTCCAAAAGAATATAGAGTCCCTATATATGATATGTTGGGTTAGGGGGGCATATGGGGATAAGGTATTTGACATTATCATGTGGCCTCGTCCAGTCAATAAAATCAGTCAGTTGGTTCAGTCGATAACATCAGTAAGTTAGTTCATGCTCGTCCCATCCGAACGACTAGACAGCTGTCCTTGTCCGCCTCGAAAAGAATAGAGTCAATATATATGATATGAACATGGAAAGGGGATGCGATGGGGCGGGGGGGGGGGGCGTGTCGGGATGAGGTATTTGACATTTTCATGTGACCTCGTCCAGTCGATAAAATCAGTCAGTTAGTTCAGTCGAATAATCCAGTCGAATAAACCAGTCGAATAATTCAGTCGAAAAGTTCAGTCGAATACTTCAGTCGAATAATTCAGTCGAATAAACAAGTCGCTCAATATTAAGTAGCGGTGGCAGCGGGCTAAGATAATTAGTAGCAAATCATGCTCGTAGCCATAGCTGAAGGAGCCGGGGGCATGGGGTAGGGACCTGGGGGCTTCCCGACTAGTTTCAAGAAATAAAACGAAATGAAATGGGGTTTTAACGTCCTACTGTTCTGCTTGGAACTGTGCTAATGAAGACGGGCATACGCCATACACTGTGGGATGAGTG